GGCAATGGGAAAGGGAGGAACGACAAGACGAGTATAGAAATGGAATAATAACGCGTTGTGTATGACAGATGCGACTGGAGCACTTGCGATAATCCGCCTTAGGCTTACCCGTTTATGGTACGCACCACAAATTGTTTCGTAACGTGCGTAAAGCAACCCTCCGAAAATAGTCATTAACCTTTACCAGGTATATATATTTTATTTGACGCTTGTTTGTTTGTTTTGCTTTTTTACGAATGGTTTCAATAGGTTTTTAATAATGTGTTTTCGATTCCTGGCTCGAAACTCGAAAACTGAACGATCTTGATGTTACCAGTTCAACGTCCCAGCACACGCGGCTGTAGACCCCGAGGGCTGCGACGCGTTCATGCTCAACCAGTGCAGAACACACATCACAAAACTGAGTCAATTTACGTAACGATAATTGAGACGTACATGAAAGCCCCCGTTCCTGGGTCGCGCGGTACCATCTGTAAACGGGCTTTGAATTTCCAAAAGCGTATTGCGATGTTCCCTCTAGCTGTATATGATCCGACTGGTGGATGGACATTTCCCGGTTTAATCGAAACAACATTGGTTTGAAAATATTTTCATGTGAACATAATTTGAAACGCTTTATACATATGTAAACTGTTCTATGGGGAGACGAGTTAGGCAGATACAGTCATCACAGGAGGATCGATCGAAAATTCTTTAGTACTTTTCAATTCGTAATTTCATTCTTGAGATATATACATATATGTACACATACGTACATATATGTATATATCAGGAACGAAACTACAAATTGAAAATTAGTAAAATACATATCAGAAATTTAGGATTATGAGTTGGGTGCCCGTATCATGGACTCCTACGTCCATCTATAGAAGAGCTATATGAAATAAAATGAACCCCAACGATAGGCAACGCCACACACTCCGTCATTGTGCATATTGCTGCATGCCCCTTTTATCTTCTATAGGTATTTTCTAGTAATTTCTTAGAAACAACTAGAACCACAGACGAGATATAAGAATAGACCTAACATGCAATGTAATTTTCTATCCCATGCTTCGAGGGCGTCAGAAGCCCCCTTACCATTTTAATGTTAATACCCGACGTTACCGATAAAGCATGAATTCTGAGTATTATTAGCACAAATGAAGTGTTATATATTCCATTCATATTGCGTGTATCTATATGATTTGACGGGAATAAAAATATCCGATGCTTCAGTTTAAGGTTAAGGGTATTGTAAGCATATTAATACGCACGAACAATCGCTTTCTAGCAATTGGTAAACTTTTACATGCGTCAGTTAATATAAGCTTCATTTCATCGAATTGTCTTAAATATAACAATTAGATATAACAAATACAAATATAACAATTTTCCCTTATCAACTTAGTAGTGTGATAAGGGAAAGTAATAATTCTAGTTCAATACATATTGATTTAATGTTGTTCTTTCTT